CTAGGGCCCTGAGAAGAATCTTGCAATTATGTTTGAAGAAGCCTCTCGGACAGAGTAGGCGAGAACATTTCCCCCTCGGCCGTGTTTGATATCTGATATCTTCGCGTCGGTTGAGCTTTCGATCAGTGCCACTGTCTGAGCCTCGCAGATGGTGCTGGCAAAGCGACCCAGTATGGCGGCACGACCGTGTGTCTTCTTGTCGTCCAATCCGATGACAGCTGACGGCCAGACTTAGATGCCCTCAGAATTGTCAAGGGGGCCACGTCCAGCCCTTTGTGGGTTCCATCAGGACTCCGCATGAGCGCACCTCCGACGGGCGTCCAGAATTCCAGTATTCCTCAGCAGCCTCCAACCGTGAGCATTAGGTACAGCCCCCAAGTTCAGAAGATAGCAAATGAGTTCCCTCAAAAGCCACCTCGACTTTGGGGCTGACGTAAACTGGTCGGCATACTCCACCCGCTGCGTGCGAATGCCAATGGTGTTGGTGTTCCAGTTGAAGACGGACCACGAGCCGCCAGGGATGGTGCTAGGATGAGACGCCAAAGACCAGTACGCAGATCGATGCATGGAGCGGTGCCATGGGGTTACGGCATAGCGAGGGAGGTCGACTTCGATCACACGATTGACGACATCGGAGCGGGTGAGGGCGGTCAGGCGGGAGTGGCGGAGCATGCGGCGGATGCGAGAGAGAGCAGCCAGAGTGGCCAGTGTATTGTAAAGAATCGGCAGTACACCCAGCACGGCGAGCGGGACACCGATGTAGGTGATGATGTCCGATGCGGACGAATTCGTGTTGCCCATGGTGGAGCAGGAATATTTGGCAACGCCCTGTTGAATCTCGAGCGCTGTCCTCGTTGGGCTACTCTCTAAGACGCCTGCCTACCTGGGCAACTTACCTGTCCGACGTACCTATCTATTCGACCACTCCAGATATCTTCCGATAGGTGATTTCGAAAATTGGGCAAGAAAAAGCGACCGTCTTGTAGGACATATGGATCGGATTGTGGATTTTGGCTAGCAACCACGTGAAGCATCGTCAGTCTGACCCCTGAAACTCAGCCGCACTGAGCCAAAAAGAGCTTGGCGCCTCCAAGTGTGCAATTGGTGGCGCTTTCAGCCGCCTCAAGTTCGCAGGTACACAGGAACAGGGCAAAAGCCTCTGTTTCTCTCTTTGTTAGTGTTCTAAAGCATTCCTTCGTGACAGCTTCCCAACCAGCCTAGTGATCGCTCACCGACCACAGCGCAACATAGATCATGGATCGCAGCCCGCAGAAATGAGACAATTTCGTGCATGATCCTTTCATTATTATTATTATTTTCCCTTTTTTTACGTAGATGTAGGCTACTTTAGCGAGTGGCCAAAACGGTTCGTGGGAACAGGGATTGGATTTTGTGTTCGGAGATTACTCATTAATCCCGGAATTGATTATCACTGGCCCGAAGATGGTTTCGGTACATTTCTGACCTCACGTGCTGGATGGAAGTTATATATGAAAGTTGAGTGTATTCGTCGTATGTTGGACAGTACAGCAGGCTGGAATATAAAACGAAGAATGAACAATATATATGGGACTTGTAGAATCATAATTCATAAGCTGAACATCTCTTCACAGTTGTCGTAGGAGCGTCATCAGGCTTCAACTGCTGACCGACGGACTGATATTGAATGGTGGCTGCAGAAACCTATGCACCTACAAGACCGATGAGAGAAGCCTTGCACAGCGATTGGCGGTCGTCTGTGAAACACGTCAGTCGCTTAAACTTCCACTTGAGGGCAGCCTGACGCGACTGGAGGCCTCGCGCTGCAGGATTGCCACCTACGTAGAGTCATAGGGACTTTCTGGGTATCATGTCTTTCTAAAATCTGTCGTTGCAATTACCAAGATCGCAGAAATATCTTTTCCCTCGCCTCAATAAAGACCGAGTCCGCTTATCGTCTTTCGGAAAAAGAAGATTGAGTGTGTCAAGACATACAAGTAGGACTCCACGTTGCGGTAGATGGCGAACCTGCTGCTGAAGATTTGTATGGAGCCACAATTTGTGCTCGAATACGTACAAAATACGATTGTCGTCCTCGTCATTGCAGTCAAGATGCTGAGAAAGATAGTTGGTCCATAAAATCTTGACCCCATAATTCCTTTCAAGATTCATTGCCGTGAGGCCCACGTCGAGTGGATCGTGACTGGTACCGGGTCTGAGTTTATGTTTCCTCTTCTCAAAGTAGGGTTCAATTTGCTTCAAGAGCGATGGATCCGATTTTCATTTCAAGTTGTGGACATGTTCGGGTAATTGAGCGAGATCGTTGGTCTCACTAACGCTGACTTACATCATTATGAAGGATGAGGCGAGGAACCCGAAGTATCTTAGACATAGTATGATTTGCATCTGCCGAGGACGCCACACCCAGTCGTTCGAATAAGCCTGCTACAGCCATATCTCTTGGCTCGTCGAGGAGGTTACGCACGAATCCCACGATGTCGGCCGGGTACGGCGGTGGTCGTGGACCTTCTCAAGTCCGATGGGTAGCCGTGATCTGTCCACCCAGCTCTTTTTCAAAGACTGGCAGACGGAAACTATTGAACAAAAGTATTTCATTTTGGCTGATTGCAGGCCATAGTTTATCGCAGAACGAAGATTCAGCTTCAAGTTTTGGGGACTTGTCATCACGTGAACCCCTACTTGGAGAGAGAAGCACTATGAGTCGATTCTTAGAGTCAAAGGCGGTACTCAAGGGATACTGAAGGTGATTTAGCGAAACTCACGTGAACAAACCACGAATCACAGGCTCATAGAATGAGACTTGCAGTACGACCTATATTGGGGTGACAAGCTGCATTAATTGCAAAAGGTTCTCGATAGCCCTCGTTCAGGCTACAGACCATCTATCCCCCAGGCCAACTTGGGCAACCTGATGGAATCTGCCAGCTTCTGGATCGCATTAATTGTGGCCTTCTTGGCTGTCATCAGTTTCGCTTTTGGTCTCGCGGCTGTTATTTACGGAAAGTTCGCCTATGACATCTCCCAAGAATTTCTCGAGTTGACCCGACAGCAATACATGCTTTCTCTTGCTCAAGCATGCTCCGAACCCGCCAGTCCTCCCGATGTCCTCCAATTCTGTCAGAATTCATGACCGCGACTAGCTAAGAACCTCTGCAGACAGCGCTGCTTGCCTTTGAGAGACGCCGCAGAAATGCATTACAACCAATAACACATCCATCCTCCTTCATGGTTGCGAGATGACATGATCGGGAACACATAATATGATGGCCCATGGATCAAACCAACTTTAACAAGTATATTTGAAATGTTAACCTTTTTTTCTTTCTAAATGTCGATTTGAGCATGACTCAACAGAGATTTCCTTCCGCCGTTCTTGGTGTTTACGCGAACAATGTAGGATAGGAGGGTGGTCAACGTATTACAAGGCTTTCCGAACCCGGACATGCTTCGATATAGGATTTCTTTTAGCACGCACATACACATCGTTCTATTTCATTTCCAAGACAGTAGGCTTGCTCGAGTAGCAGAGCCGCTACAGCCACGCCCTCTCATGCAATTCATGATTCAGGACTTCTGCCCCTTGATGGACCCTCTGTGGCGCCCTCAAGTGTGTTTGCCCATGCATCATAATCAACCGATTCAAACATGGCACCCCCCGCGATTTTCTTCCGAAAGCAGTTCGTTGAGGAGCGAATGCTGTCCTCGCAGCACGCAGCTACTCGCGAAGAGCTGCGAAGCGGCTAATGTTAGCGAGGATGGTTGATGTCGTTCTGATCGCCACGACATTTCGCACTCAAAGGTCAAACCTGGGATATACTCG